TATTTGATTTTTTTTCAGCGTCAAATGGGTAGTTCGAATAAAAACTTGAATTACACTTTGTTCGTAACATTATTTTAAATGCTCGTGAACAAGCCACGTGATGAAGTTACGATTATTTTTTTAATTAGGAGACACATCGAATTCATCGGTATGAATCACGTTTTTAGGTAGGTCTTAGGTACTTAGTGAAGAGCATTGAGATACTCCCCAAAATTGAGGTCCTAAAAGGTAGGAGAAAATACAAGAACGTAGCTTCATCTTCAAAATAATAGATGTAATAAAATGTGACAATATAATCGAAATCAAATGTTACGTTGCCGTGTTGTCTACCTCTAAAACCCACGCCATTACGTAGGTAAGTAGTACGTACACATGTGTTTCAGCCATTTTACGACATTATTTGATTGCCCACCTACTCTCCCTTCATTTGCGGATATCTTAATTTATAACAATAGACGGGACTAAGTAAGTATTCCCACCTCTAGTTTCTACCGCTGCGGCTCCTGTGTAACCAGGATCTACAGCTTGACCGCCAATAAAAACCCAACCAGTGAAGGTAAGGTGTAAGTTTGTACTATTTTATAACGATAGCATAGATACTTTATCGAGTTCGTTCGTTTCATCCAGTGGACGTCCACTGACAAAGGCCTTCCCCAAGAATTTCCACAACGATCCGGTCTTGCTTCCAGTTCCCTCCCAACACAACAAATCGTCAGTCCACTGAGTGCATCTATCGATCAAAACTTTAAATATAATGGTTTATCACCTGCCTAAACGGTTTTAAGTGTTCATTGACCCACGTCTGCAATGTCATGATACGAATCTACGACCATACAAGGTTCGCACTGACTTTGGCTCTAGGTTCAAAGCATACTAGGCAAGGCTCTAGATTAAATATAAGTTAGCTTTGACATGAAAGAGTACAAGTAACTACTACAATTTCATTCTTTTAGTATTTTGCTGTCTGTGCTATAGAAAGGGCTCTATCTTTTCTATGCTCAAGAAGAAGTCTGATGGTCTCAGCTCCTCTTTATAATATTATGGTCGAAGTTGTGTCCACTTTCCTAGTAGCACATGTTTCCTTACAATTTTCTTATTCTTTGATCAAAGTCTTGTCAGAGTTTACCTCCGCATTCAGCAAGGCCCAAAACAGAGGACTTAGGAGTGCCGGAACTCTACGGAAGACGTTGGAGCTGGAGTGAAGGTCCGGTGGGTTCACTGACCAATAGAATATTTTTTTAAAAGAAGAAAAAAGTTCTGACCGACTACCTGCCAGATTATTTTTTTCTAGTCATCAGTAAGACTTACTTATGCGGTCCTCTCTTGTCTGTTAGGTTTAACTCTATTCATTTCCTCAATTAAAAATCTGAAAGCGTCATCACATTTTTATTCAACAAATATATTTCTAATGACACCTAATAAATTGTAAGCGATTTGGACATGTCGACTAGACGTAATAAATAAATTGTGGAATACACTGTTTGGCATACTAATCAGGATGTTAATCGTAGGTATTGAAAAAAGCAATAGTTAGGTGCCTACCTAAATTATAGGAAGAGGCTTGTGTTGTCCTCAGGTAACCTATGGTGTCTACTTGAACAAAAGTTCAAGTTCACGATCATAGGACAATGTCATGAAAATAATAAACGAGGCACCGAGTCTATTCAATTACTTACACAGTCATACACCGTCCATACTAACAATGGAAGTGGTAGGTTCAGTTGGATCGATCACTTACAACATTTTTGGGAACTAGAGGTATCAAGTACCTACTGACGATCTCTAAGGTAGCAGGAAGGCACTGGATGCAGACCTTCGAGCCTACCAACTGATCATTATGTAAATCATTGGGGGAGGTCTATGTTCAGCAGTGATGATGAGAGTTATCAGAGCTAGCTTACTATTACGTTCGGCATAGTATCTTTCTTTACATTATTCATTTATCAGTTGTCTGTTGGAGTCTCTTCTAGCAATGAAACGTTTTTGAAATTGGCCCGATCTGAAATTAATAGAACTCAGCACCAACTGGGACTCACCGTTTACTTAATAACTAGTCACTAAAGTCAAGAACTTTAGCCGATTTTTTATGAACTGTGTGTGTATGGGTTAAACAGATTTACTAAGTTGAGCTGTACTGTGGCATTGCGGCATATTTTGTGTAGGCGTTGACCGACAACTGTACTAAGGTAACGTAGAAATTAATTGAATGAATTGTTTGTGGAAGATCTAGCGCAGATAGGTGAAATTAAATTGGTTTCAGCAGACACGTGTAAGTAAGTACTTAGTGGTATCACTTTCCATGAGGGTTTGTTGGTGCCATCTCTATAGCATTTTATCCTCCTTTTAAGTTCAAACGCTGGTTGATACTTTTCATAGTATTTATTGAATAACTTGTACAACAATATTACTCATCAGTATTACACAATTACATTTCGGCAGAATAGTCCGTTCGACACGATAGTTCACCAACGACTGCCCGCCATTGACCACAAAATGCTAACGTGGTTTTCGCTACAGTGTGATCGGAAGCGGAAACCCCGGCGCATTTTGATATAAATTATTTCTTATTATAACAATGTTCTAAAAATATTGTAATAAATCATTATTTTAAATAAAATTGATATTAACATTTTACTGTTTTGATTTTAATTTATACAAGACTACAAATCACAACATGAGATCACAAACCGGAAGTGCAGTGTAAAATTATCATAATGAGACAATTAAATGGACACTGAAAGTTATTGCTTAGAAAACATTAATAATATTATTAGACAGTCTAACTCAAGTATATTATAATTATGTATAACCTAACAAGCATTGGTTAGGTACATTTTGGAAGTCATGATTGCTCTGCTCAAAATAACTAAAGCTAACTAGTTACCAAACTAGTGTATAATACATTTTCAGTAGTCAGAGTCATCCTGTAGTAAGCTAAAGGTCACGGGTTCGAATTACCTAACACCCGAAAGTTTTGTGTTTGCAATTCTAGTTAACATGCTTCTTCGTATGCTCAAAAATTTCGCTTTAAGTACGGAGTTAAATATACATTGTCTGGGGTGGTCTGGGCAAGACCTAGGTACTCAACTCTACATTTTTGTAAGAAGAAAAATAAAACCTTTTTAAAGCCGTCTATGTCCAACCTTTCACTCTTTTTCCTTTCCTGATTTTGACTGCCCAAACTTCAGTGTCATGTGAAATGTCACCAAACTACAACGAAATCAGGTTACAATTTTTCTCTCCGTAAAAATAGGAAAAGCATGTAAAATCAAAAAAATCGCACAAACTCGGAGCGGCGCGGGTAATCATGAAGCTGCTGCAAGCGGTGGTCGCGGTGCTGACTGTACTTCTGTTCTTGGTCAGGCAGAATGTCTTCGCAGGAGTATGTCCGGTTAGTCAGTTTTCTTTAGATAAAGGTGAAAAATATTTAAAAAGGCTCGGGACTATCCCACTCAGCTCTCATTTCCACTGCTGCAGCTCGCTTGGATCTTGGACTTGTATATCGCCAGGATTTAGAGTTCACGTCTCAGCCGTTAAGATCCAGTTTTCCCAGGGGAAAGTTTATGTAGCGTACAATAGAATAACTTCGTAAGATATATTGTTGGTCCTCACAATACTTCTTGGAAGCTACTGGATGCAAATAGCCCGTAGCTTAGCCACATAGGTATGACCTAAAATAATTTCTAGTATAGTGGGATTCCCATCAGCAAGAGATGATGTCTATAATTTGGATTCTTTTGAGAATTACATCATTGGATTGTGTTTACAGGACTGTTCAAAGACACTTCCATCACAAAAATGATATTAGCCTGCTTCCTAATGTGGGCAGTTGGGCACTAACAACTCTCTGAGCATTATGTTTATTTATGTTTGCTTTACTTTCCTATTCATCTCCAGGTAAAGACGCAAGCCCTGGCCGGCTACTGCGACTCCTTCTACCACGATGTGTCATCCGCCTCGGCCCACTCGTCTCGAATGGTCTGCGCTCGCGCACGTTCGCATACCGCCAACCTGTCGCTGCCTAAACACAAGAAGGACCCCAAGATTCGCGTGGATAATGAGGATATAGATTACCCGCCCGTGGAGTAATCGTGTAGTGTTGTACTGTAACATGACAATAAAAACTGCAAAACAATAACACGTACATTTGGCTTTTATTTTCGACAGCAGCTTGCTGTTGGTAGGTGAGGAAAGGTAGTGTGCTATCTAAACGAATTGGAGTGGAAATAAAAATCCACTCTTCCCACCCAGCTCACCCAGGTAGGATGGCCAGGTGGGATAAGTAGGTGGAATAGGGGATTTCAAGGACCTATTTTTCTAGACATAAAGATGAAAAAATAAGTTTTTATAAGATAATCGATCATCAAAAACCTTTATTAGTGCTATCAAAAATAAAATTACGAAATACTACGACGGTTGCCTTGTTGGTGATGTATAACTGCGCCTTCTTGTCGCGGGAACCATGAGGTATCGGACGTTCTTCTTGTAATATGGACAGGCAGGTTCGTCACAGCCCAACACTTCAGCTTCGTGAACACCATGCCCTCCTCTTTGCAGCAATTCATCGCCCAGCAACAGTCTTCTAGCACAAGCCAAGAAGCAAGGTCCACAAACAGCGACCGCGCACAAAGCAGCCAAAAATTCTAGCAAAAACATTACCGCCTCATACCACATTGTCACCGCTTTGAGCCCAGATTCTAAATTCCATGAGCATCTGTTTGGGAACCAATTTTATGTCGATACTTCACGATATTTGGGGTTTATGTAGATTTTTAGAAAATAATTGGCGTAAACATGGGCGTGTAAAAATACACTTTACAAAATCATTGACTGGTTTATGACACTTGTTTGTCACAAAAACAGCAAGCAACATCAAAATACCCACAAAAAGAGTTTGTGTTAGGGCTTCTTTCACTTTCATTGATGAATCAAAAGCGTGGAGAACGGAACGCATGTAATGTCAATGTCAAAGTCATGGGGCTTTTGACAGATGACAACAATGACAGTTCATGTTCATCGACATTTCATTTTCTCTTCAGAATTTCAGTGATTTTGATCTGTTTTAGGAAGAAATGTTGAGTTAAAATTATTCACGAATATACATATCAAGAGAGAAACTTTAGTTTCTAAGTGGATTAACATAATTTCAAGATGCGCTCGAAGATAATTATCGCGTAAGTTGTCTTGACAAAAACAGTAGGTAATATTCAATTGATATTTTTTGTCTAATAGTTCTCTACATGCTAGAAAAACTTGTAGTCAGCAGAAAATGCATACGTACTGTTAATCGGTACTCAAACCGTGCAGTCAGGTTATATGCATTAATTTTTATGATTCTAATCTAAGTCAGGATACTTCAAAACACACACTTAAACTATTATTTTCAATTATAGGCTTAAATTCAAGAATTGGTAAGTTTTAAAATTATTATATGAGTGACCTTTTTTCCTGTTTTAGACATGTGCATTGGGCAAAGAACTAGTTATTTCACATTATGTGATTTTATCCGAGCTTAATAAAATGGTGATGTCTGACATAAATTAGCAAAAATGAAAGTTTATGAATCAAATATTAGATTAAAACATTCACATAATATTCAGGTGTAGCTTATTTATTTAATTATTGGTGTAAGTCCATATTGTTTTGCAATTAAAAAGTTTTAATTTATCAACATGCTGCTATTTGTCATTACCAACTAAATCATAACATTGGTGAAGGAAGCTTTTAATGCTCATATAATTTATTTTCGTTGCCTGAAAAAAAATCTATCTAGTTTAAAAAAAATTACATTAATTTTCCCATTTCGCAATATTCCAAATTAGCAAACTGGTAGTAGTCAGTATCTAATTAACTCTCTTAATGAATTTCCTTTCTCCATAATTAAGTAAGTAAGTAATTAATGCTGAGTGTATAAGACTTTTTACAGTACACCATTTGGAAATAATGTAGGTAATTTTAATCTGTTTTATTTAATCATATCATTTTATAATATTGAGAATAAGACCTTTAACATTTGAATGGCAAAATCTGAACAAGAAAATTCATAATAGAGTTTAACTCATAAATGTTTTATTGATTAAAATTTAATTAAGTATTTAATCTACACACCCACAGGAGCGTAATCCTAGCTTGTATATTGACAACATGGCTGTTTGCGCGACTCTACCAGGAGTTAATGACTGCGTACGAACAGTCCGGCAGTCTGATGGAAGTCGAATATTCTTGGTAAGTCGGAAACTATTATTATTCAGAGCATGCATAGAAGATTTTACGTATATATGTTAAAGATATAGAGAAGATGAACTCTTTTGTTCTGTCACTGATAAAAAATTAATGTGTTTATGTTTGTTTTGACATTCTTGAGTGGCGACCACAGGTAGGAAAACATATTGTACACACACATTCCACTAGGTGGACTGACGATCTGGTAAAGGACGTGGGTAGTACCTAGATGTGAGCCTATGCAGGACCAGTCATTGAGATAATCCTTGGGGGAGCATCAAGCTGTGGATATTATTTTCCTGAATGAATAATGTAATTGTTATTATGTCAAATTGTCAACAAAGTTGTGTAATTTTATTGCACATAAACATTTTACATTTCTTTTTACTATTGTATGATTGACTAAAGCAGTATAATTGTTTTATTACAGGCTCTTCCGTCTTCTCCTGAACATCGGTGGTTATGCGACAGTCCTACTGCCCGGTTTCATCCTATACAAATACCTCGATAGGTCTAATTACTTCGATAAAATAGGTAAGTTGATTACACTCCATTGTATTTTTAATGAGCACTTTTTACGACAGCTGAAACTAATCTGTGACGTAATTTGTCCACTGATTATACCCATAGTAGACAGAAGGTAACAGAGTATTTTAAACTCTAATTTCACATGCACACAGGCACAATTGCCTCATCAAATTGGAACATTCACACTCATTAAGGCTTATCTATTCTATGCTCCCAACTAAAGTTAACTCTAAGGACAGTTAGTTAATCTTCGAAACACCTAAATAGAAATTCTAGGTCTATAATTAACACACAATATTAATTCACAAAAAAACATTTGGCGCGACTTCGCAAAACTTAGCAGGCGCAGACCACCGACCGTTGTTGACCGATAGTTGGGTCCGATTTTAATTTGTAGGAAGAATCGGCCGATACTAAGTCGGTGTAATGTGCGCACTTCCATACATGTCCAATTGTCCATACTGATTAACTGCCCGACTAAACTATCGGCCGACAAAAAATCGGTGGTCTGCGCATAGGCTTATACCTATTAAGAGTAATCTGAAAAATCTAGGCAGTTATCACTTGCCGAGAGTGATATCGACAAATATATCATTTACGAAATAGGTAGATATTTATCGGAAACTAAGATTGATGTAGTGTTAGAATAAACATTTTTCAGTTTGGTAAGACCCATACAAGACTGTCGTTCGGTATACGACAAGTACATTCGATAACGGAATTTTATGATTTTCTTTCATGTGACGTTGAAAGTGTGTTGATATTGCGTATGGTTTCCAATTTTTAATTTGCATTTATACGCATGCACATGTATACTGTTGTACACACAAACACTCGACACAGATGGTACTACAGCATATTATTGACTGTACTACTATACTGAATCAACCTTGAAATGACAAATTAACACCATCATTCATTTCGAACCTACATTTGCTTTAACGAAGATAATCTGCGTGGATTTCAGCCTATAACAAACATTCTTATCACCCGCGTCACTCGATTGCCATTAAGATCAAAAGCAATTAATTGATAATCACGAGTTACTATCGATTTTTATATCGTTAAAATTATTTCTTATGCCTACAAGAAAACTCATCCTATATTTCATTTTCCAATCGTTTATTTTCTTGGGCATTTTAATTTTGTTATAAAATAGATTGCTTGGCTTCTCCAAGAGTCAATCAAGCTAATCTATCTCTATATCAAAATTCTTCAAAATTACATAATTCAGTTTTAAGCGTGAAAAGACGTAGCAGAATTAGAGCTACTTTCACATGTGATGAGGGCTATCTTTTTATACCTAACAATTAGCACCACTGGCAATTAAAATGACCCTACTCTATAGTGGCGACACACACGACACACTCACCAGGAGTCCAGATGTGATGTCCTACCGCTTCAACGCTCACTAGTTGGCGCCATTATCTCTGCCTTGCAAGTGTCACTGACCTTGCTCTACAGACACTGGCGTCAACCTGTGAGCGCTAAAACGATAGACCTCATTTGTATGGTTGTTCCAAACTTAAAATATCTCATCACATATTATAAAATGGTAAATAAGAAAATAACTACTGTATTTTTCGTTGCAGGAAACTCCACCCATCTCTCACGCATACTGCACGCGTGTTTCGGCGAGCCGACCGAGCGGTTGCCGGAATCCATAAAGCCTACCAAGGTCGAAGAGAGCACCACCAGGGAAGGCGTGGAGCTGGCCTTCTGTTTCACTGGGCTCATGGGGGCTTATTTGGTGTGGGGACTGTTGCAGGAGAAGATTATGACTCAGGTAAGACCAGACTAAACATTTTTGTTGCAAAATAGCAACTATTACAACTGAATAAGATGACACAGTGTTTAACTTGACCTATGGGTCTTCTAAAAACTGCAGTAATCTTCTTCTTCTCTTTATCAAAATCAAAAATATTAATTCAATTTAGACCACAAGTGGCACTTATGAACGTCAAAATATAGTAAATAATAAAAAAAGAAAAGGCAGCCCTTATGGGGCACTTTACATGTCTCCTTATCTTTTGGGCCCTACCAGCGCTATCTTCTTTACTATGGGTATATGGTGTCATGGGACACCTATACCCATAGTAAAGAAGATAGCGATATGATTATATACAGTGTGAGTCACGTTAAAATGTACATATGAAAATAAATGAAACTAGACCTATTTTTATCGACAAAAAAGAGGTCAAAAAATTTTTGAGATTTTTTTTTAATTTTTTATAGAATTTTTTTTCTTCCAATTACTTATTGTAAAGAAAACGTAATAACTTTTAAATTAAGAGGTATATCCTGATAAAATAAAAACAGTAATAATGCTAAATAATAGGCGATACTAAAAAAATACATAAAATACACAAAAAAGGCCAACAAATAATAAAAAATGATACTTTTTGAAAAAAATCTGCTTTTAAATTCGTGTTTTTTTGGTTATTTGATAAATTTCTCAAAAAAATGCCCCTATAACCGGTGGTTTTTACTACTTTGTATTATTTTCTATCATATTACCTTCGTAAAACCAAAAATCGCATGCCTCTATCCCTATCACAACATTTGCAATGATCGTTTGAACTAAGCCTCTCCGGGCGCGCTATTCAACGCTTCGTTAACAACGAAACTGAAAATGGCTCTAGATTTGTAATTTAGATAAAGACAAGTTCAATTTCAAATAAAAACAAAAGATTTCAAAGTATAATAAGCATTTTAGTTAAAATTAAAATTTTCTCTACCTGCAGCGGAGAATAATGTTGTGGCAGGCCTTTGTTCAAACGCTCATAGCAAATGTTGTGATAGGGATAGAGACATGCGATTTTTGGTTTTACAAAGATAATACGATAGAGAATAATACAAAGTAATAAAAACCACCTGTTATAGGGGCATTTTTTGGAGAAATTTATCAAATAACCCAAAAAACACGAATTCAAAAGCAGTTTATTTTCAAAAAGTATCATTTTTTATTATTTGTTGGCCTTTTTTGTGTATTTTATGTATTTTTTTAGTATCGCCTGTTATTTAGCATTATTACTGTTTTTATTTTATCAGGATATACCGCTTAGTTTAAAAGTTATTACGTTTTCTTTACAACAAGTAATTGGAAGAAAAAAAATTCTATAGAAAAATAAAAAAAAATCTCAAAAATTTTTTGACCTCTTTTTTGTCGATAAAAATAGGTCTAGTTTCATCTATTTTCATATGTACACTTTAACGTGACTCACACTGTATATAATATGATATATACAGGGTGTCCCGTAATGTAACGTCAAGCCGGAACTGGGTGTTGAGGCAAGTTGTGCTGGTTATCAGAAAAATATAAAAAAAAAATCTATGTGGCATATTTTAAAAATAATAGGCACTTAAAAAAAATCCAAAAATTCTACTCCANTCTGTTCCATTAGATCATCACATCTTAATAAACACAAACAGTTTGGTACATGTCTAAAGTTACTGGCAAACGCTGGGTTTCAACACAAGAATAAACAATCTATAAACACAAAATGATTGTAACAAGCAGTACTAACTTTCAAAAAATCCAGCACAAGTNGTAAGACGAAATGCGATGAGTATTCGCACTGGTAGGTACAGTCAATCTGGATTAACTAACTATGGTATAAAATTGGCTCAAAATATAAAATTAAATATTAATTGCACTTTTTCGCTTTGATTCTTTGTGAACGAGTCTAAGATACAAAGCTTATTTGATAACTAGCTGTGCCCGCGACGTTGTACGCGTGAAAATAATTTGATTAACAATATTTCAGACAGACTCTTTCTTTTCTTCTTTCAAATTAGCAATTACTATATTTTGAGCTAATGGTATACTGATGGCCAAAGTTATCCAGATTGACTGTACTTGCACAGTGGTCATAAAACTAATGCACATTTAGGCCAACCGCAATCAATGTTATCCAACCTTACGCGTTTGATTTAATGTTTCAATCCGTAACTGGCGTATGATTGCGGTGGTGGACCCGTCACATTATTTGGGCAATAATCGTTTGATACGATGGCAAATTTAGGGTAAGTACGCAACTACGCAACTACTTTTATGTGGCAGACTCCGATGCTTTGATGGGCTGTGGTTGCCGCAATGTTTATGACTGTTTTTATTTTGCACAGTGGTTAACTGACCAATCTAATGATGGAATAATTTAGAATTGAGATTAGGCATTTATGTATACTATATTTATAAATACTATACCCGTTGTAAGAATCTTAAAAAATATTTAGCTGTTAATATTATTTGGACACTAATTTACTTAATTATGCTTAAATACTTAATTATAAGCATATCACCACTCGAGAATAAAATCTCATTAATTTTAAACGATCTTTAGAAATTGAGACTATAATCATTTTTGAGTGTTTAAAGTCAAGCCATTGACTCTACATTGAATTAATTATCAAATACCTTTTCAATTTAAACTTCAATCAAAGGTATTAGAAGAAATAAATATTGATTCATTAATCTGTCTCAATCTTGACTCTCTAAGCGCGAAATCCTAATTGAAATGTACGTCAGATAATTATCTAATGGTTCATGAATTAATTACCCAACGAACGAAGGAAGCAAGCTAAGTATACTCAATTTATTAAGTATCACGGCTAAATGTGGTTAAATTATGCGTTGTTATAATACTTTTGGCTAAATAAAGTCATTGAGCACAATTTTTGTTAAAAGCCGTAATAAATTGGGGCGTCTTAATTAGATAAAGCTCGGCAAAGCGCGTGGCATTGAACGTATTAACACACTGTATATAACCATAAATACCTCAGTTATTTACATAATGTAACACACCACAACGCTATCTATCGGCCACCAGTTGCATTAGTTCCTGATAAGCAGACTCTACACGGCGCGAGTTCTCTACATAAAAACTTTTTAGGCGAAATATAAAAAGACCACACAATTTCAATGAAAAGTTATGAGGAATTTTATTTGTACATATGTAGTAGAAGATTTAATTCATAAATTTTCAAGTTTATGATTAAAATTCAGGCAGAAAACGTATTTAATATAGTTCGGCTACGAATTGTAGAGCAAGTTAGTTTCGAGCTCGACCGGTAGATGCGCCACTGTGCGCTGGCACGGCGAGATTCAATATGGCGGCCCCATTCGCCTCTGGAACAGGGCGGGGAGAACAGTTGCCGAATCGACACTACAATACTTACGCGTATTTTTGTCGAAACCGTCGTGTTCGTGACTCGGACGCGGGTGATATTGCGAAATTATTGTGTGTTTCTGTGTTCGTTTATGTTGTCTGTGTTATTATTTGTGCATAATGGTGATTTAGTGGTGAAAAACGTGAAAGGACTTTAGGGTAACAATGTCTAGCAGTTGACATGTTTATCTGTGTCGTGTGTGAAGATTTTCCCTTCGCGTGAGGAGGTGCGGTGTCATAGTGTGCGGCGCGCGCTGGTGTGCGTGCCGCGGTCGTGGATACACGGGACCCAATGATGGATTGCATTTTCATGGATGTATAGGTAAAAATCACTTGTCAATTTTTATTCCAGCTTACGTGTGTGGGCCACTATGTGCCTTCGGACGTGGCTCGGGCGCGCTCGCTTTGTTTAAAACCTTCTTTCAGATTTAAGAGTGCAAGTCCGCTTTTGGACGGTATAAGGATGTATCCTTGAATCGATAGGATAACGTGAGCCGACCAAACCGCGAGGTTTCCATTTTTCTAGTTTCCTTATCTTAAAGAATGAGGTTGGTCGAACCTTGAATGGTTCTTACGAAATATTTTCCTCCGCGCTTCATTGTGTAATGTGCGGTCTAAATGTTGATGTTTTTATTCCATTTATCTGGAGTTGTATGCAGATTACAAAAAACACGATATTAAATTTAGGAGATTAAATTCTAATTGGTTTCTTATAAAGTCTTATAAGTTCATTGTTAGAAACTCTATTAGAACATAAAAAATACATAGCAGTTCCAAGACACAAAGCTTTACATCAAAACGATTCACACGCACGCACAAAGTCACGCTTATACCATTGAATCTTAATTCATTACATTCATGCGGAGTCGCGCGAGAATATGGTTCCCCTCGCTCTGTTCGCTGCTTCTGGTTATCAGCTTACAAAATGTTTGAAGTTGTCCCTTTCGGGCTCCACCAATCTGCGTACTTGCGTCCTTGTCGGGCGCATATTGCGCGTTTTTCTTCTTTTGCCGCGTCATATGCCAGTGTTGAAGCATGAGCGTAGTTTGGAGAGTTCGTGAAAGTGTACAGACGATCTTAGGTGACCAAATTGGTGAGATTGAGCAGAGTTTGCGGATTGATTGGAGGTCCTTTGTTTGAGGGTCGAGGTTGTATTAATAAGAGGGTACCTGTGGGGACTGCGCATCCAGTCGGCGCAGTTGGGAGTTCGGTGGGCGTCGCGACGCACGTGGCTGCCCGATGGGCAATTTGCCGCGATTCCATTGTTTCGGCAAGTGGTCCAAACGGAGACAGATGGGATTGAACCCTTCACGGTTATTAAGTTTCTGTTAGTTGGATTCAGTGCTGTCAATACCATTAACTTTGAACCTTATAGGATTAGGCAATGTGCTATAGAGATGTAGTAAAGTAGTAGCTTTGTAGTTTAAGTGATTTTGTGAATTTTATTGTTGACACACATTTTGGATTTTGTCATCTGGTTTGAGTAGGTAAGTAAATTTGACAATTTTTTAACCCATTCTCAGAATCTGTAAAAAAAGCCGCACTTGCTTAGAAAGTTGAAATTTATTCACAAGGAATATTTCCAGTTGAAAACAAAATGTATCGTTTGTACTCCGATAAAGAATATTAGCATTTAGAGCGCAAGTCATAAACACTAGATTTGTACAATTCAGCATAAGGGTGTCTGAGTAATATCACTAGAGAATATTGTCATTCATGGGTCTGAACTCATTATGCAAAACAAAACGCGGAATTATGCAGATGATAACAATAATGACTCCAAATTTATTCCAAGTAAGTAATATCATCTCGCTGTATACGCCAGAAAGGGAGACATTGAATATTCGCCCAAGAAAGAAGGAAAGAGTAACAATGAAACGATTTACAATTTACAACTTCCAAAACATAACTTTCGGAAAATTTTCTCCACAACTTCAAACGGCAACGACATTTCCTTCCAATTCACATCACGGCTATCAGATTGGGACTATAATATTAGCAATATTTACGTTTCCAAGACATTGACACAAGCAAACTGAATCATAAAAGTTGGATCAAACGATCACTTCGAACGATAAACAAAAGAGACAAATTAAATGTGGATTCTTTATTACCTCAGATAAGATCTTTGTTGAAATATGAACGTCTTTCGCAGTAAAGAGATTGGCCATCGATCTGCTTACAGAGCTTTAGTTATAATAAAATATATTGTAATGGGCTTTCATTTCAATCTTTACAGAAGTTAAAATATTCTCCTCTTGACAAAAAACGTTAAACAAACATAGAAATAGGTATAATAGTTTCAGATAGAGTATAATTTTAAGTGCACAATTTCAATACGGATCAGATTGAAATTAAATAACCCGTTCAGTGTCAGGATGTTAATAATTTGCCGGGTCTATTTCAGCCAATCTATTGTGATATAGCGAATCCAGTGCTTCGGTGATTACCTACGCTAATTACAATATTGTTAGCTCTACACTGTTGTTGACAGGTATAATAAAGTTAATTAATCAGAGCAATGCTTTTAATATCCCGGCACATGTTACGGTAATCCGTTTGTATTCCACTAATGCCTACATGGTATACGTGCTGGCGTTTATTATTGTTGTCATCCTCGGCTTTGCCTTATTAAACATCGAATTAATGGCGCTCATCTGCCTACATTTCTCACTTAGCGTTTCAGTTTACGGCACCTTTTTCTTTTCCTGAAAGATGTTCCGTTTCTTTGTTAAATTCTTAATGGGCTTGTTCTGTTTTAGTGTTTGTTTTTATTTTTAAAACATAAGCATTTGATAATATTATTCTTTGGGCAATGCTCCTTTTCCGTTTTATTTTGGCACACATTACCTCTTTCCATTTAACAGTTATCGTTTTTATTTTCATAACTAAGATTAATTCTACGGTATTTGTTGCACACTGAGGTAACAAATCTTGTGTCAGATCAATTAGCAGCCAATTATAGATTTAAAATATGACACACTTTAAATACGCATGCTGGTGTTGCATCGTGGGTAATTAAAATCTTTATTACGCTACGCTGCTTATCTTCCTTTTTACCACTTCAAAGATCCGAAGTCGTATTTACCAGATTAATGAACGATGATATTTATCAGGCAATACATTATCTTTACGTTAATGTGTCAGGTTCATATCAATTCTGTTGACATAACATAAACAAATAAAATCTTCCAACTATCAATCAACCAATTACGAAGTTTCTAACTAAGCAGAGCTTGAATGTGGCAAATTACGGGTAAACAAACATACTTTAATATGCTTGTACGACATATTGACAGACGACAACACAAAAGTAAATACTGTATCAACTGCGATTGTTGGCACACAAATTTACTTTCTGCATTGTATACTTACTGCATACATAAACTAAATCACTACTCCATTTTTGCCAAAGTTGCCGAGAATATAGAAGTATAATATTTATCTGCTTAGAAAAGATTAACTGCATTTTTCACCGAACTTCCTTCAGCATCATCCGTTACCCCAAAGCAGCTGTATTTATTACTTTCAATCCGAAACCTTTAATAAATTGCCGCCTCGATATTTCACGAGGTAATAATTTCTTGCTTCGGATATATCATTTACGGCGAACAATCGATTATCCTGTAAACGAATAGCGAATAGAAATGTATCCATACGTTTAAGGATCGAGATTGCATTCCTTCGTGTGATTGTAGTGAATGGAATGATAATGAATTCATTGGTGATACGAGTACGAGCAGGTGCTACCATGTCTGTCGTTGTGGTTTCTTTTCCCTCATTTCTAATGTTTGAGTTATTGACTTGTTATATCCGTCTGCATTAATTATGACTGTGAAAATATTTTAAACCTAATGCTTTTCTGTACAAGCTTTATTCAACTTTAATCACGATTAACTTTTTCAAGTATGTATAATTAATATTTTTTGTCGCATCAATGACATTTACTGACAGTGACCTAAATCTTGAAAATTCATTATTCTTCTACGAATAACGTAGGCATTTGCCTTTTTGCCTAAGTGCAAAGCACACACCCCTGATTTCGTGTACAAACTTTATTTTAGCCAATTTCAAATTCAATAATTTTCTTTAACGTTCCAGACGTACCATTTCAGATTCATTTGTAATTCTATGTTAGGTCATTTGTTCTAAAGTTTATTGTTTCATTTTTCTTGGCCAATATTGTTGTATCTCAAGCGCAGAGGCCGTTAAAATATTGTTATAATATTACTTCTAAGGTTAATATTATACTTGTTCTAGTAGGTACTATTATTTATTCTGTAGTTCTACTGCTAGTTTCAAGCGCAGTGCACCTGGAGCACGTCAAAGTTTTAAAAACTCCCCATAATTAATATCGCTGATCGCTGTAAACCAATTAGTTTCGTCATATTTATGGTACAAAAATGTATTGTTTCTTTGTTGTTCTTGTTAATCTTAGATAATATAAAATAAATCTTTTGTCTCTTAACTACCCAATTATGGGTTCTAAAATGAGATAATTAAGATTACAAAACCTCCAAAAGATATATTCAAATTGTTTAACTAAAGTATAATAATGTAGTAGCCAGCTATACTATAGTAGGTACCTACTTTGCAATCAAAAATAATTACCTACATACCTTTCATTCTTTAAGATGAAGCCTAGACTGTAAACTGTTTGTATTACCTATTACAAATAAATACAGTGTGAGTCACGTTAAAGTGCACATATGAAAATAGATGAAACTAGACCTATTTTTATCGACAAAAAAGAGGTCAAAAAATTTTTGAGATTTTTTTTTTATTTTTTATAGAAGTTTTTTTCTTCCAATTACTTATTGTAAAGAAAACGTCATAACATTAAGCGGGTGTCGTAAGAGGCGACTTAGGGACTACACAAAAACAGAGAATGGGCAGCAGCGCTCTCTGAAAAACATCAATCTTTTAAACTGCGATCTCCAACCCGCCTGCCAAGCGTGGAGATTATGGCAAATCCCTCCACCATAGTGGAGGAGGCTCATAGTCCAGCAGTGGACTGTAAAGGGCTGTTGATGATGATGATGATGTATTATTTTCTATCGTATTACCTTCGTAAAACCAGAAATCGCATGGGTCTATCCCTATCACAACGTTTGCAATGATCGTTTGAACTAAGCCTCTCCGGGCGCGCCATTCAACGCTTCGTTAACAACGAAACTGAAAATGGCTCTACATTTGTAATTTTGATAAAGACAAGTTAGATTTCAATTAAAAACAAAAGATTTCGAAGTAAAATAATCATTTTAGTTAAAATTAAAATTGTCTCTACCTGTAGCGGAGAATAATGTTGTGGCAGACCTTTTTTCAAACGATGATAGCAAATGATAGAGATAAAGATAGAGACATGAGATTTTTGGTTTTACAAAGGTAATACAATAGAGAATATTACAAAGTAATAAAAACCACCTGTTATAGGGGCATTTTTTGGAGAAATTTATCAAATAACCAAAAAAACAC